GACACCGATACCCCCATGCACGAGGTTGCGGAATACTTCCGAAGCGACGATGCAATTGTCCATGAAGACGAGGACATGGAAGAGTATGACATGGACTCGATTGATCACGAACACGCTCCTTCAGAGCCGCTCCCGCCTTCTCCGCCTTTCGCGTCGTATCCTTCCTTGCCATCTCTTGCATCCCACGAGTCTATCCGGTCATCTGCATCCGAAGACTCGATGCCTACTTCCTCTTCGATGTCATCTCTCGTCTCTTTCCCTGACGTAGAGGAAGCCCTCGGATCGATGCTTGCATCGCTTTCGGACTCCAGCATGGCTTCCACAGCTATACAGACCCCAACCAAGGGCCAATCGATGGCTGCGTTTGAAGGAAATCCTGGTCTCGGACTGGGATTGGACCTCCCCGACCAGCCTTGCATTACCGCTCCTCTTTCTCCTAGGCGACGTGCACCGCCACCGCCTCTCGATTTGTCGGGGGTCAAGTTTAACTCGACTGTGGAGCGAGGCGTCGCTCAGTCCGCTCCAATCATCAACCACCGGGTCGCGTTCTACACTACGGCCAAGGCTCATCCGAACTCACCTTCATCCGGAATCTTCACCTCATCATCATCACTCGCATCATCAGCATCTTCCTCATCAACAATCAGTCTCGGTGACAATGCGACACCCGCCGAGAGCCACCACACATACCGAGATTCCATCAGCTTGGCGTCTGAGGCCAGCGATGAAGACCTCTACACAGCTAGCATCATCAGCTTGACACCTATCATGAAGGGCAAAGTCGGTGCTAGGGAAATGAAAGAAGAGATTCTCGGTGAAGGCGAGGAATACACGAATGGGCTCGGACTGGGTTTGGGTCTCGGACAGGCCATCAGGACTGGATCAGGATTCGGTCAGAGTGCTCTGTGCGGCCTTGAGGAGAATGTTGAAGTTGGGCTGGCATTGTAACAATCAAATTGAATCACGTCAGAAGGGTAGTTGGGTCTGTCTGAAAAAAGGTTTTGGCTACTCAGATCGGCCTGATCTGGACACTTGTTGAATAGGTTTTACCTGTAATATTCTTGCGTTTGCATAATTTCGCTTTTTTGTTCTTCCTCTTTAGTCTGCCTGAGCCGGCTTAATTCGATCTTAACCGTTTCGCCAAGCGTGGCAACATATATATACCTGCATCAATCTCGATACTGTAGAATAAAGATAATTAGGACAGGACACTTGATGTGATACCTTTTGAAACGATCACCGCCTAGTACCGCCTTCCGCTCGATTCGCTCAGCTGAAGCGATGCTGAATGCCTCGCCGACTAGAAGCGGAACATGACTTGCAACTCAAGCGTTGCTGTTCAGTGTCGCGATCTCCCCAAGCCGTCTTGAGCAAATTATAAGTGCATACGTTGGAAGGAATTGTTCAGCATCTAGTATACCCAAATATGTGGTATCTATACGTATTATGGAGCCCGCAGGTTTTCTAGCTTCTTACATGACGTGATGTACAACAAATGGGGGTCAAATGGTCACTACGTTACCGCTCAGCTCGTCCTTTCCTCGATCAATCATCAATCACTCGACCATCATTGACTTCTTGCCAAGGAATCTTGAAAATCCCCGCTTGTGTTTGCCCGAGAAACTGCTGGAGCCTTTCTGATTCATCTCTGCCCTTTCGGTTTCCAGCTTCTTGAATGCGGTTTCCACCGATGATAAGAAGTACTCGGTCTGGCTCGCGCTCAATGAGTTAGGGGTGAGGGGTTGATCGTGAAGAGACGACGCTGAAGAGGCATCGGAACTTCCTTCGTGACGACCATTTCCAGATCGGGAGGGAGATGAGACCGCAGGCGAAGAGCTGATCCTGGGCGGAATGACAATCGGTACGACAGGTTGAGACTTGGCCCGAGGCGATATTTCAATCACTGAGCGCGAAGCCGCGTGATTCTGGTACAGTTGACGATGCTTGTTGAAGATGGCGTTGCCCATTCCTGGCAGTTGTCGGGGTACCGTCATGACCTCCACGAGCGAGCTACGTCGTGGGTGCGCTGGCCCAAAGTCGCTGTTGGGTGATGAAGCTGAAGAGGACGGTGCGTTCGAAGAAGACGGCGATGCTTCCAGGAGATCAGACTCAACGATGCTTGGCACAGCCTTCCTCTTGATCTTCCGCTCCCTTTGAGTGTCCTTGGCTCCGATAAGCGGTCGGATCGGCTTTCGAGCTTCCGTTTCCAGAAGTACAGCCGCCTGCTTGAGGCTTCGAAGTTCATCAAGATTTGTGGGGGACGAGAACGAGTTCAACGACTGAGATGTGGCGAGTATGCGAGGGTTGGGAGGTGTAATTTGAGGTTGAGATTGGGTAGGATGAAGTATGGGTTTGGAGAAAGATCTTGGCAGTCCATTGTTTCTCTTAGGAGGGGTGGTCGAAGACGTCTCTGGGGAAAGGTCAAGAGGTTCGAATGCGAAATCCGGCAGAGTTTCGAGTGACAGTTCCCGGAGTGGTGTGACAGGTGGATCCCACTCGGCGACTCCGCTCACACCAAGTCCTTTCGCTGTCGTGAACACGCTCCATCCTCGAGAGGGTACCTGGACTGATACGTCTGCTGCTGAAGGTGTGACCGGGCTTGGAGTGAGAGGTTCATCGTCCGAGGAAGAGGGCGAAGGCACAGGCGAACGATTCAACCTGCGGCTACGCTGAAGGGAAGCACCGAAGATTCGCACTAGTGAGAGCAACCACATGTTAGGAGCCGTCAGAGAGCGAGCGAGAGAGACGAGTGAACGACCCCTGTGATGGATCGAGATCGTCTCGATAATTGAGATGTAGACTTACTTGAGGAGACAGGATCAGGTTCTGCTGTACGTTCTTGCTCGCGACCTACCCTGAGAGGTCTTGCCCAATTGACTGCAGATTTCTCGCCGAATTGAACAGACTTCCTGGCTGCGCCCGAGTCTCTCTTGGAGCCTGATCGAGGAGATGTGAGAACTCGTGGTGATCCGAGCTGAAGTTCGTCGGATGGTCTGTTGCTGGTCACAGGACAAGGTGATGCCGATCGACCTCTTTCAGGGGTCGATAGCGGTCTAGGCGATGAAGATGACGACGGGGTGGGAGAAGTCGTCAAGCTGAGAGTGAAGATGGGCGGACGCTCGCCAGTCGCAAAGTAATCAAACTGGGAGAAGGAGGAGTTGAGCAGCACAGGTGATGTCGGATGGGACATTTTGATCTTCGAGGCTCGTGTGTTGGGTCCTTCAAATAGTAAATTCGTTCCTTCGAGATCTCGTCAGTTGGCGACGTGAACAGCGGCCTGGGCGGGGTATCTGACGGCCTGGGATCCTTTGATTGATTGATTGCTGGAAGCGGATTTCAACAGCGAAGAATTAGCATTGGGTGACCAGTGTGCCATCTTTTCCGTGAGATTGAGTAGCGTCCTGACCGTCCATCCCTTTTAACATTCTCAAACGTCTGTCAAGGATGGCGGTCGGCGCATGGCGAATGGCTTCGAGACGCGCACAAGTGTTACGTTTTCCGACAACGCATGCAATGAATTGAAGCGGTGTAGGATGATGAGTGCAAGAATGAACGGGAAACGTGAACTTACCGCAATGTCAAAGGGTTTTCCGACTAAATCGATCCCGACTGCCGGAAGCAGGGACTCTTTCCACCAGGTACCCGGATGAGCTTAAAATCCTCCCTCTCAAAGTCTGGGATCAGGTAGCAGTAGTGAGTCCACTGGCCTCGCCAAGTTTACGGGATGGTACGGTGACAGCACTTGTGCAAAGCTAGAGGGAAGCTAGATTGAGAAAACTCTGAGAAAGAAGGAAAAGCGAAAAGGAAAGGCGGGAAGCGTTGATCCTTCTGACGGATTCGAGATGGTGATTATGTGAAAGAAAGAAAGATAGCGTCGATGGGAGCAAGTAAAGTTGAGACCATCCGGTTCAGGCTTGATACATACATTGACAACGCCCATCCACGCCCAAGACCGACCGACCGACGAATGCAGACGAGAGAACGGTCCACAGACTGACATGAAAAGGGATCGGGATATACCTAATCATATTCCCTTGCACAACTTGCCCATCGTTTTCGCATTCAGATGTCTGGATCATGATTCATTAGGGTCGAGGACCGGTAATCGGAAGACACTGAACGATTCAATTGAAAATATATAAGGGGGTTTCCAGATATATTCAGTGGCTTGGTCCGGTTCAGATCAGGATGATGTGTGTCTCGAATCCCTTATCTGTATCGGGGTGAGACTTGGGGTCACAGATTGAGTAGTAAGGGAAGTAGGTGCATTGCTGCTATGCCCATTGGTGATCACGATCACTCCCGATGACAGCAGAGCGAGACTGATGGCCTGTTATTGACTCCGGCTGAGTCACGTTTGAACAAGCTGTGGCGTTGCAGTTTGACACTTCGTTACATATCGTTAAGCGTCTCCCCGACCATAATAGTCGGGATCACGGGTGTGAATGGGAGGCTATCGCCAAAGGAAATGGTGGGGGTGATGAGACGCCAATGCATGAGAGGCCGTAAGCGGCGCTGTCCTCCGGATGTTATGCTCCAACGATGGATTGTACTTGGCTACGATGATGGTAGCGGTGAAAGTCTTGCGAGAGAGGAAGACCGGTACCATTTGCGAGACACGGGAGGCGGTAATGTCTTGGTTAATCTTTTTGAGGGGTAGATAAGTCGGCTTTAGCGATTACGGTGCTAGGCGAGGGGAAAGCAACAGGACATTAGGAAACCAGGCGAATGTCGCACCCTGAAAATGCACTGACGGGATCGACAGACACGAGGGACGGGACGGGATTCAGGGGCTCAACATCCGACCAGCACCGTAGAGATCGTTGCTTCTAGAGCCTGTTCAAGCGTTAAAACAAGCCACCGACACGACAACTACATGCATGCATGCATGCATAGGTGGACAGACTGGATTGGGACCTGCGTGGTCGAAGCAAGGACCAGTCAGTATCAAGGAGGGGAGATCATAAGTTTAACTCGACGCGTTGCGGATCCCTTTCATCTACGGCCACAGAACTGAGAAAATATCGCATCCCGTCTGCTCTGCGCAATTTTAAGCTCAGTATCGCTTGGCTAGTACCATCGTGGGGGACCAGATGGGAATCCCGAGTGCTGTAGTTTTTGCTGCGGTCCGGTCCCAACTGCAGCGAGATCCGCCCACTACCTCTGCATGCATATTTCCACGAAGCTCGTCGAAGAAACGGCTGGCACCTTCGGGTTGAGCACAGCAGCGCGTAGAGAGTGGCATGCGCCGTTCCTATGAGACTAGGGGCGTTTGTGCGATGCATGACCTTCATTCAATTGGTGTGCCGGCGGGGTAGAGACCGAATAGAGGAGTAGTGGCTTTGAGACTCAAGACCCACAATGAAACAAGGAGAATGAATGGTAATTTGGAATGAAACTTGGTGAGAATGCCGTCAACGATTGCATCAAGTTTTCTATATCTTCTAAAGACGTCTTCGGCGTCGATGCTCAACTACTTGATCGGACCGTCGTTGTCACTAATCGGATTCGAGCTATTATTGATGACACTTGTCGTCATTAGCTTCAGTGCATTGTACTCCAGGGTGCGCCCGCCCATTTTGCTCCTGGTTGCATGTCAAGGGATGATGGGAAGAGAGTCTCCTTTACTTACCGGTACGAGGAGTGTAGAGTAGGTGGCGGCCTTAATGACGGCCGCTGCCGTCTACACGGCGAGACAGACATGGATCTACAAGAGAGTCCAGAGTTGCTTCGTGTATGCCAAGTTTGGATCTGGCCTCCGGTCGTGCTTGTACAGGGCCTACCGTTGGCGGACGTGGTGAGATTCGGTCCGCTATATTGCGCGACCAACTCAGTCTAAGCTGAGCAAGGGCGCGTTCGCAGACTCCGGCACCCGCGCGGCGGTGTGTGGACCACCTTATCGCTTTGGTTGATGGCGCTTGGACCAGCGAGCTTCGGGGCCAGATGCTATACCATTCCAGGACAGCATGTCGACCCATGACCAATGCTCGATTTGATCTTCGATTCCTAGATGGAGAGTTGGGTCATAGTCCAAGCCCTATTCCTACGCCTACTCCTATCAAGGCCGGACACTTGGCCGTATAGACCGTTGCGGTAGCCGTCGTTGTACGGGCTAATGAGCAAGTCAAAGTCAAAGGATATTTGATCAGTTCCATAGATCTCCTTAACGCCCGTCGGAACTTGGACTCACTGATTTGAGGGGTGTAAATGACGGTATCTGTGATCACGTCTGCAGTCTATACACACGCGAGTATCGAGTCGGAGGGAGGGTTAAAAAGGATAGTCTCTTAGCTCATATCTCTTAGCAGTGTCCATTTTCGGAGATTCCGCTACCACTAACCTGTGTTGGGTTGACAGTCGCTGTTGAGACCACAACGGCTGCGCAGAAAAAAAAAAGGCAAATGAAATGGAATGTCAGTTTGGTAAGACTTTGTTACGACTTGGGTTCACATGCCCAGGATTCCCAGAAGCCTCGTGTCCGACTCACTTTCTGTCGTAGTCACTGTGAATGAAGTACGAACGAGGTTAATCATCAGCGGCTAGCAGCATATACAGTATACAAGCAACGGCAACGGGGTGGTAACACGACGCTCACCGGTGGCAGTCACTGGCATCGTATAGGCGCAAATTGTGGTGACGCCCGAGTACACTGTAGGCGTAGTCCTGCATGAAGATGGTCACGTCCTGAAGATTAGCACGCATCGCAGGGTAGTCCTCGACACTGCGATAGCGGTAAAGCCGGCTCTGACTGAAGTGCACTCACGTCGTAGTTTCTGTCTCGGTCTGCACGACCGTGGTAGTCGTCGGGATGCAACTTGCCCGCTTCACTGCCTCTGCTCGTTTGACTTTAGGCCTCTGCCTTTTAATCCGCATCCCACGCCGGAGGCGCTCCCCATTACTGAGCTGCAAAGTCTCTTCGGTCTCTCCTAGCCTGTTGTATCCAGACGATCCCGCCTGCGTCGGATTCGGTGGGTACGAATAGGTGTAGAACCTCTTCTTCTTGAGCGAAAGAAGGCCAGGCGAGGAACAGGTCGAAGTCGTGATCGTGCTCGTTGACGTCAGAGTCTCAGTGTCCGTCGCAGTGGAGGTGATGGTTGTTCTTGGTGTGATTGTAGTGGCCTGTAGATGAAAAAGCGCCATGTGAGCTTACAAGGGGCATTACTGTGGCTGATACACAACCCTCGCGATGTCTGAATAGCTGGACTCACCGGGGCTGTATAAGTTGGGGTGATCGAGCTCGCTACGTAGCGCAAGAAGTGCATCAATCATCGTTAGGAGCTGCTGATCTGCCCGTGGTCTTCTCTTTCCAGTAAAGGCGACTCACTTTGGGTCGCTGTAGACGTGACAGTAGCATAACAAGGTTGTGCGGCGGTGCTAGATGGAGATGTCCATGTGGGAGCTATGCCACACATTCGACATCAGTGGAAGATCCGCCGTTGGGCTAATCCAAAGATAGGATCTCTTCAGACCTACCTGTAAAGGTGCTCGTGCTGCGTGAGCAAAGAAAACATAGGATACCATCAGCCCGATGAGCCGTCGTTAAGAGAGAACAATTCGATTTACATACCTGGTCGTAGTGCTCGTTTCGGTAGCGACCGAGCACTGCGCTGTCGCTTGAAGTGCCGTTGCCAGGATTAGGAGTCCAGGCAAGATCAATCTCATTTTCACGAGGGGGATGGGTTTGTTCTGCTACTGCTGACAGTTGGACCGTCTCTACAGACCATAACATCCCCTTTGCCATGACACACCCTCGTTATTATACATCCCGAGGGAAACTCAACCAAAAGTTCCATCGCTTGGATTTTCACCATATCTGTGAGCGAAAACCCATCGTTTCGCTGCCGATGTACGCTGGACCTCTCATCAGCCGAAGAGCAGCGATCTCAGACGTCATTGTCCTCGCTGTGTTGAGGTCCGGAACAGGCATGCAACCCCGTCCAAACCACGGACGAAAAGACGGGGCCTTTTCGGAAGCAGCGTGAGGACCTGGGGCCATGTCCGACTTGTCATGTGTGAGTGTATATGTGCCAAGGAGATCCTCTCACAGACACTTCTGTCGACTCGCCCTCACCTCACGGGGGACATTGAGATCGTCCTTGCCAAGAAGGCCATACGTACAGGTCACGTTGACGGAAATAATTCGTGTCTTGTGCCAATGACGAATGGCACGGTTCGAACTCTGGGAATCTTGCTCAGCCGAGTCAGGCACCCGTTCCGTGCTGGCGACTCCCGGCTGGGCCGGGGACTTTTCCGTGATCAGATGTACGATACACCGGACACACCGGACACACCGCGATCCACACCACCGCATGTTACAGTAGGCATCATTCAGATAGCAGGATCGGAGCACACGGCAGCTTTTAGTCTGAGGCTCGAAACTCGCGAGTCAGCACGAGACGTTTCAGGTCCCGGTACTGACGTTGGTGGCTGTCGGTTGCCGCTTCGGAATTACAGCATGGTCTGGCCTGCGCCACTGGGCTACCAGTCATCTCTCGGCGAAGACCACTTCGTCCTTCCCGCTGCACAACAGTACCACGCTTTCCACGCATCCACGTTCGAGACACGCGAGCAGCCTCGTGGCCATCGAGCCCTTGCTTGGTCAATTTCTGCTCGACATGCGGATTTCAGGGTTTTCGACCGGACATGTGCTCAGGCACATGCCGGCAACGGAGAAGGTGAAAGCCACGCGTACGGGGATAAAAGCCACAGACGACACCGTGACGAATTTGTACTCCAGTACCGGCTGTAGCACTCAGTCCTTGGAGTACGCATCACATCGTACCTCGTTCCAGCGGTACCTGTCGTACCTTGTTCCGGACAATCCCCTCACACTTAAGCATGTGTGGGTACTGGAGATACGTGCGACTTCTGCTAGGGTATTGCGCCCCGGAACGGAGATGGCGGACGGAGGCTGCTTGCCGGGGCCCGAGAGATGTGCGTGCATGCATAGGTATTCGTGCGGGTCCAGAACACATTCTCGGTAATACTAGAATTTGTTGTACGGCGGCCCGACTAGATGTCCGTTGAAGCCTGACGTAGCTTTCCGGAGTTCAGTATTTTTCGGAAGAATGATTACAACGTTTCTGGTAATGTCTCCTATGTACTCGTAGTCCCTGCGTTCTCGGACATACCACTCAATCGGACAGCCTCTGTTGTGCAGCCTCGGACGCGTAAAGGGTCCACGACCATGTGGCCATGAGAGCGGAGGCTGTCCGAAAATGTGGTGTGTCCAAGAACCCCGTCTAGTATCGGAATCAGATAGATACCTGGCTTCAGGAAGGAAGGCATAAATAGCATTGCTGTCTCTCGATAATGGAGTAGATGGGGCGGGTTAGGAGGGGTACCGTGTTGAGTAAGATAACATAAGTACGGAATGAGGAATGTATATACGGAGATCCGGGGTTGTAAGGAAAGAAACTATAGACACTAGACCCATTCGAAAAGTCCGATCGAATTCCTTGCAGAAGCCCGCCAGTGATGTATGTATTGTATATGTGTACTTCTAAATCCGTATCACCGATGTTATCTGTCTATCGAAGAGAAGAGGAAAAATGTTCATTCATGACCTCGTACGCGTAATCGAAGAGCAGAAAGGAAGGAAAGCTGAAAAGAATGAGATCTGCGAGAAGACGAGGAAAAGGACACGTCTACTACGGGTGGTAGGTGGGTCGACACGCGCCAGTGATGGTTCGCGAAGTGACGGTGGACGTCTTGGCTATGGGGATCCAATGAGCGCAGTGGTCAGCAGATATCGTGCATACTGAGTCGTTGCTGAATACCAAGTCATTGTAACTGTGAACTCGACTTACTGTAAGTAGGGGTGACGTGCGAGGTGATGATAACGGGAGGCTTGTTTTTGGTGATCGTCTCGGTAGCCCAATCGGTGACGGTGGTCTTGACCTTGACTATATGTAAGCGAGTTTGGGGTGAAAAGATGTCAGCTCGTCATTGCATTGACGATCGATACGAATACACATACCAGTCTCATCGAGTGTCTTGGTCCACTTGCACTTGGTGACGGTCTCCCAGTCGGTAGGGGTGACAGTCTTGGTCTTGGTAGTGGTGGTGACGACGGTGGTGTGAGAAGGGTAGCAGCTGGGCTTGGGAGGCTGCCAGT